TCTGGAGTTGAATGTTGGATGAATTTTCAAATAATCATTGATGGTGGACACAAGCCTATTTGAATGGTGCTCCTGTACAAAGCTTCCACCTCTGCATATTTGTAAATTCATAATAGGGCAAAGCATAACTGATTTGACTTAAGTATACTTAAGTATGTTTAATGTTGCTTAATCTAATAAGAGGTTTTTTTGGATCCCATAAAGATTAATGTACTTTTCTTGCAACCATCTTCTGCAATGTGTTCCTTGGGATAATTGGCAGTATTTCATCAGTATTTATGGTTAGCTTTATTTTTACAAGGTAGATTTCATTTATTATAATGGTGAGAAAGAGAGTAGGTGTTTGATAGGCATCAAATGAAACAGATTGGGAAGATAGTGAGGAACAATTTTAATAGAAGTGCTTATTCATATTTCCAAAAAAAAACCAGTTGCACTATTTTTAAACAGTAGTAAAATTCTTCAGAACATTTGATTTTACTGATTAATTTATTATATTAATTTCTCAACCAATTAAATTAATCTCAAATTATTCCTTAATTTTCTAAACAAACATGTCATACTGACAATTGTTTAAAAAAACTACACCTGATGTTACTTTTTCTTCAGTAATTGTTATTTTTATATCTATTTTGGCAAATATGCATTTTATATTTATTATTAGTCTGATTCCGGACAATCCATAACAAACTCAGAGAATTCTTGTTCTTATCTATACTTAAACACTGATTTTTCAAATTAAAACCAAAATGTTAATATTTTACTTTAACTTTTATTGTTACTCCAAATGCTAAATTAATTCCTTAAAAAGTTGCTGGTGAATTTTTAAATAAAATAAGTGTCTGAAGAAATTAGTTTACTTCTTTTAATATTCTGTTTGTCTCAGATGCTTTCCATTTTCTTTTGAGTTTTGTGCTGCTTTTGTGCATATTCAGTTTTACAGCAATGCTCATCTTGTTAATCCATTGTTTCAACTGCTTTCTTAAAAGTTTTAAAATTGTACCTGTCTAAAAAAGGAACTGATATGATGACAGCTCAGTAGTTCATAATGAGTTGAGAATTTTTGTGAGATGCTTCACTTTCTTGCTCCATTCTTTCTTACATCAATCCATTCTCATGACAGTTTTTCACCTTACAGCAGAAAACAGCCCTGCCAATTGTATGATTGATTGGAAACCAGTACTAATCTCCAGTTCTTCACAATCCTCATCTCTCTATCTGCACATTTATATTTCAGCAGGTCCATATTTGTCTTTTTTTTACAGCCACCATCACTGCTAATTTGAAATCAATCTGCAATCATCTATTATTCCAAGTTTTTTTCAACAACACCAAGAAGGCGCTCCAATTTCTACTTGTGCATTTGATTATCTCTTTTCCTAAAAGAAGAATTTTGTAATTGTTTCTTAATTTCAGTCCATTGCTCTAATCCATCAGGGTCAATTTGAATTTTCATTCTGTCTCCTAAGGTATTGGATTTTTTTGCCAGCTGCAAATTTGATAAGAATTTTCCCCCCTCATTGTAGTTACTAAAAAATATTGAAGAGCAAAGGGCCAATACAGAATCTTCTGGTACTTTGCTACATATCTCTTTCTAGTTTGAAGCATCTTTAATGAATACTCTTTCATTTCTCAATACCAATGACAAGGCAACTTTCCATAATTTGAAGTAAAATTAAAAGTAATGGGGTAATGTAACGTATTGTAACTCCTAAAATAGGCATATCACAATTACAAAAAAAAAAACGCACTTGAAATACCAGTTCAAAATCTTTTTTTTTTCAGCCCATATTCTAGTACCACTCATCTGCCCAAAATGGTCAAGTATGGCTTTTGATCATCAGAAGATTGTCCTTATGCACTGTTACCACCATCTGCTTTGAATCATTTTCACATCATCAATTCTTCAGGAACCCTCAAAAGTTATAAAGTTTCAGACAATCTGTTCACAACTTCCTTTAACAGCCTAGGATGCAATTCATCAGCTCCTTGGAAATTTAAATCATTCAAAATAAGGAGATTAATCTCTAATCGTGCTTCTAACAATTGCATGCTTTAGTCCTGTCCTTGTCTTCATAATTTATTTGAGGGACACACACTTACCTGCTGGAGAAGACAGAACCAAAATAGTAGCTCCACGTTTTCTTTTTACCTATTGGCATGTTGCTGTCTTCATTGCACAGTTTGTATACCTAGCTTTATGTCTCATATTTACTTTGAATATATATGAATATGGCCTTTTCATTTTGAGCACTCTTCACCGATTTATGTTTATTTTGAACTTTAGCCTTCCTGACATGCAATAAAGAGTAATAATTGAGACACTGGAATAAAAGATACTAGAAGAGTTTCTAAATTTGGGGCATCCAGAGTTACATTGAAAAATTATATTTGTAATAAGTAGGAAAACCAATTCTGCATTTGAATGTAGGTTATTCTTTGCAAATGTAGCCAAGCACTTGATTCCTTGAGCCAAGCTGAACTAGATATGTAGTTTTCTTGACAGCAATAAAATACATAGCTTGCCATTGCCTTCTTCCAGAATGTTTTATTGTTTTCTAATCCACTCTCCATCCCTGGGATTTTCTGGTGGTCTCCCATCCAAGTTATAACCACTTCCAACTTTACTTAGCTTTTCTGAGATTACTCAAGGTGAGGAGCATGCTGCCATCTACTGTACAGCTAACATACAATCCATATTGTGTCTAATGTAGAATAGTCACATACTATTAGAATTAATGCTCTATGAAATATATCTACAATAGAACTATATGGAAAGAAGGGTATCTTAGATGTTTCTGACAGTGAGGGTCTCAACTCAAAATGATTTACTATTGCAAACCAACTTTTAATGTAAGTTCTATTCCTTGAAATATTTGCAGCATGATAAATGAACTTGTTCCGTTAATTTATTTTTTAATAGTATGTTTCTCTGTTAGAAAGTGTCAATAAGTATCCTTTATGGCATCATTTTTCAAATGTTTAAGTGTCTAGAATCAGATACTATTTTGGTCTGTTTCAAATTTATTTGAAACAGACTAACCACTTTCTATTAAACAAGACATTTTTCAAGTGTTTCTTTATGTAATATTATATACCAGTCCAGTATATATAATCACAAAGGACTTCACAGCTATAATGTAAAAATATGTGAGCCAGAAAATTCAACACCAACTGTGAGAATCCTTTCTGTTCCTTTAGGAGTAGAATTTAATCTGCATAGTTCTTAAAAGAATTTCAAGAGCTGATGATTTATTTCTCCATTCTATTACATATAAAGTATTAGTCCTTTTTTATTCTTTGGCAATAATTAAGGAATGGTGTGTGCTCAACACCTAATGGTACATTCTCTGTGAATGAGCAATGCCCTATGACCAGAATAATGGACTTGACTATTAAAAAGGTCATAGCAGACAGTCTGGCTTGAATTTCTCTTGGCATTCATCAACTTTGGGAAGTTTCATTTAAATACCAATTCCAACTCTTCTCTCACATGAAGAATAAGAACACTTTCAAGTAGACAGATATGTATGTGTATATGTGTACACAGATCTATTATGGTATTTTTGTATGTGTGTGTGTATGGGATAGATAGATAGATAGATAGATAGATAGATAGATAGATAGATAGATAGATAGATAGATAGATAGATAG